ATATTTTCCTGCAGCAAAATTAAGATACACATCTCAGGAATGAAACAGCAGTGCTATGCTGTATGGTCTCTGCATGCCACAAAAATATGTAAATAATTTTTCTATTTGAATTTGGTATATTTTGAGTGTTAATGTCTACTTTGTTATTTTAATGAAATTAATTCATTTTGTGAAGACAGCTGAGTATCTAAATTAAGTCTATACATTTTAAAGTGTTACAGTAATACAATAATTTAAAAGCAGATCAACATATCTGATAGCAGATTACTGTTATATTCTTCTAATTGAAACCATTATTAGGATTATCAAATAGCATTATCATAATAATGAGAAGTCATCATTATGATGATAAGATTAAAAACATCTCATGAAACATGAACGGTGGAGTAAAAAACGGGGCCTGATTCTTAGACTCTTCATCAGGAGGTTATCTGGAAGACAAGTGAAGTCTTTACAGCTATCAGAATCTACTCAAGACAAAGGTCAATAAACCACCGAAGCGCATGATGAAAATAAGAGAGGAGCGTGCAAACACTATTTTTAGAAAAACACGGTATCTTTACAGAGGACTGGGGGCTTCAGAGATGACACAACGCCCTGACGTGACCCGACGACCCATCAAGCTGAGGCACTAACGTGAGCAGAGGTGCCTCACTTCCTGGGCCAAGACTGTCGGGAGCAGAAGTGGTTGGTGGGAAACAGAACACGGAAGTCACGCGAGCGGAAAGTGGCTCCTGAGCTGCATGAGAGGAAAGCGGACATTCTGCGAACATCCATGCTGGGCTGGCACCTGCCAGCCTAACTCAAGTGACCGCGTTACTTTCCACAGACTTCCCTCCTTTAAACTCCACACCCTTCTGGGATCACTCGTGTTTTCCCTCCTGAAATGTGGCCTTTAGAAATTCTGCTCGGGAAAGCCTGTGAGTGACAGGACTCTTTCATATCCTCTTCCTGTTACAAGTCTTTATTTTTACTTGTTCTGGAAATACGTTTTTTTTTTTTTTTTAATTAAAATAGTTTATTAGCTTTTCTTTTAATATAAACATGAGGAAGAAAAACCACATAAGTTGTAGCATTCTTTTCAAAATAAAACTGCAACCAATACTTGAATCTCCAAGCTCCATAAACAATATTTTTTGAGGTGGTAGATTGTAATATTTTATATCCATTATTTATCATTTATGTCTCTGTCCTTTAAAAATGATGGAACCTGTGGCACTCAATATAATGTGAAGCCTTGCTATAAAGAGAGAAAGTATTTCTGGCCCAGAAATGCTTTGTTTACAGGCAAAATTCCTAGGATTACATTTGAGAAGGTAGGAGAAAGATTTTACATAGTTGAGAACACTTTTTTTTTTAATGTTTCAAGTTTAGGTGATATCATTACTAATTTTCTAAAAGACTGATTACTGAACCGCCCTGTCTTTTAATGGGCTTCCTGGTGACTAAGTGGTAGCCTGTGTTTTAAAAAGCCTGAGGTAAGGGTTCCTAAGATTTATCTTTCCTCAAGTAACACCCTGAAGTGACACACCTACAGGTAAACACAGAACAGAAAAGCTGTTTCATCACTTACTTTCCTGTCACTACTATGAGGGTCCAGTTCCTTTCAATTTATTACCGAGAACTAATGCTGTTGTTCATAGTTCCTTTGCCAAATCTAGAAAAAAGAAACTTCGGTGCTCAAGCAGATAAACAGCCCAGCCAGGCACAGGACTATTTTAAAAAGAGGAGGCCAGGTCTATAAAGAATCAAGATATCCTCCTGAAGTCTTTGTGCAATTTGAAGCTTTGATACTTGTAGAAATATAAATGCTACGAACTTACAAAACACCACCCGAGAGCCCACTTCAATCTCCTCCGAACTCACCCAGCCTTGCAAATCCTAAACATTAAGCTCCCAATTTCAATCCTTTGCTTCAGCCTATTATTTGCCATCTTCAAGAGGGACTGAAACAAAAAATCCAAATTAAAAGCCCAACATCCAAGATCCACAAAACTAAATGAGTTCAGAAGAAATCCAAGCAAACTTTCAAGCGATACCTTGCGTCCGTAGCATCCATATTTCTGCGGCAGTGTCCTGGAGTGTCCAAGCACACTGTATCAAAGCTTAAAATTATACCAAGACTTTTGGGACACCTTCTATTTCACTATCTGCTTATTCCTGGACTAACAGGTTGGCTGGAATTATGAAAATATCCTTTAATACAAGTATTTAACAAAGAGGAAAATCATGAGAAAATGAGAAGCACCATTAGAGTCAACAAGAAGCGCAGCAGGGACCCAACAGAAGTAGGTAACAACATACTTTCTCTGCTTATGATCCCAAACATGCTAATATGCTAATAAGTAGTGCTTGCAAAAAATCTGAATGACAAGTGTTATTCAGCAGCTTTTTGGTTTAAACTGATTGCCAAAAATGACTAGCAGCTTCAATGAAGTAGTAGGGAGGAAGAATCCTTCAAAACCTAACAATGATACAACAGTCTGTTCCTAAGTGGCTTTATGAGTTGTTAGGAGTCCTGTGTTTAAACGGTAATACTGCATTGATTCTAAAGGAATATGCAGCAATATGGGCAAGAAAAATAGGAAAAAGTAAAAGTTATATAGTTAGTGTCTTTAAAGTCTAAAAATTTAAACTGTTAAAAAAAAACCTCACATAGTTCACAGTTATCAGCCTACATAGTAAGCAAATATCTGTGGGTGGGTTGGGAGCTTTTAGCTTTGGAGTGGTTTTTGTAACTCTGTTTACATTAAAAGGGACAGAAGAGTGTGTTGCCTTGACAAGGTCCAGTTTTTTCCTATGACCATAATCTTTGTTGTCCGCAAGTCTCTTGAATTCAGTGTCTTTCTTCTAGGTGAAAATACTAACTTTGCTGGTTTCTGAGCAGGAGAGGTGGTATTTCTCCAGTCCTTGTTACGAGGGGTTCATGATGTTACAACCCCGCACCTCTCTCTGTTTATGAGAGGATGGCATTGGAGCGCTGAATACCAATGAAATTATCAGCGCTGAAAGACCTTCTCACAGCAGCTCTGCAGAAGTCTTTGTATTTGTCTTCACACAGTCTGGAGATGGCCTCTAGGTTCTGTGCTCTTTCTTTGCTAAGAGGAGCAAATAGAAAATTCAGGTTGTTGTCATCTGCTAAGGAGCGAAGGTCAAAGTAGTATTTGGCATAAACACTGGCGGGAACATTAATATTAAGCTGAAGGAGCTCCAGAAAGTGCCTTTCCATCTCATTCATGTCCTCAACTGTAATGTCCTTCAGGATCTGGCAGTAGTCCACATTCCAAACAGCCTGATCGTCCCAAACCTTGGAGGCAAGAAGAATGGCTCCCAAAACAATTCTTTTCCAGTTAGTGGGGCAAATGTCGATCTCAGCATAAGTTAAAAGCCTTTCTAAGTAAACCAAAGTCACTACTTTCCACAGACTTCCCTCCTTTAAACTCCACACCCTTCTGGGATCACTCGTGTTTTCCCTCCTGAAATGTGGCCTTTAGAAATTCTGCTCGGGAAAGCCTGTGAGTGACAGGACTCTTTCATATCCTCTTCCTATTACAAGTCTTTATTTTTACTTGTTCTGGAAATACGTTTTTGCGAGGAATGCAAAGACAGATCAACAGTGATGGCTCTTGTCTCCATGATTCTGAAAATATTATTTATTGGGCTGCTTTGCAGCTTCCACTGTCACTACTGAGAAATACATTGTTAATGAAAGTGTCCTTCTGCATAAGTGACCTATGTTTTCGCTGGTGGATTTTAAGATCGACTTTCAGCCACAAAGTCAGAGAGGCGAGTATGACTCTACATGAAGCTCAAATACAGATAAAATGAATCGACAGCAACTGAGGTCAAAACAATGGTAATTTTTTGAGGGGGAGGTAGTCTGAGATTCTGGGGATGTGCTATATTCTGACCACGGTGCTGTAACATTTATTGAGCTGTTATTTCAAAGTTGTATACTTCTCTGCATGTGTCTTATGTTTTAATTAAACTGTTAAATATCATTCTATCGTTCACTCGTTGATTATCTCTGCCTCCCTTCCATCTAGAAGACACAAGTCATTGTTTAACGTACGTGTTTATTTGTTTAACATTTTTAAATGTATTTCATTTTAATTACTTACTCTTTTTACATCTGCTTTTCATTTGCAACCACGATTTATAAGCTTCTTATGTGCTTACTTATAATTTCTGTAAAATTCTGTTTCAATTTTGGGCTTCAGTATATTGTTCCTGTATACTTCTGAGTCATTCAGTTCTTTGCAATGACCCTAGTCTTTTGCATTAATCTTCTGAAAATTTTAACTTAGAAAATCAGGCACTTATCATCATAAACTCCTTGTTCTTTAATTTGAGCTCTTTATTCATCTGCCACAGGTGTGCCGGCACCCAGAGCCCCTCAGAGGCCCAGGTCAGCAGCCAAGCTCCAAGCACGTCTGGTGAAAGCACCAGTCATTTCCCCGGAAAAAGGAAAACAGTTCTGGACGATCAAGTCATCCAGGAGTAACCCCTCTGTGTTTCCTCGGTGAAGGAAACATGAGCACTGACCAACCAACAGGGGCCCAGGACAGAGCGTGCAAGGGTGTGGACGGGCCCGACGTGGTTCAGGTTCAGGTCTGGGTGGGCGGCACCGGTGTGACCCAGACTCCACTTGTTATAAACATTCGGCCGGGATCGGGACCTGATAAGGTCGCTGGTGTGACCGAGACTCCGCTTGTTATAAACGTTCGGCCGGGATCTGGACGTGAACAAGGATGGACCTGGAACACTAAGCAGCGTGAGCCGTCTCCTGGGCCTGGAAGAGAACACGGAGCCTGGGGTGAAGCCCTGAGCAGACTCCTGCTCACTGAGGGGCGGGCAGAGGAGCACCCGGGCGGAGAGCGGTTAATGATTCGGTTCTGCGTGCGAGCACAGGAAAGCTGTCACACACACAAGGCGATGCCAGGAACAGCTCGGTACGCGCACACAGTCGGTTAAACAGGAGGCAGGAGACGCGTGCTTACTGTGTTGCTGGAGGCTCCGTTCAGATGCAAACCGCTGTCGAAGAGGGGCGAGGAGGCCCCGCTGCCTGGCTGGCTGGACGGTCCCGGCGACCCTGTGAACAAAACAATGTGCTGCAGACGGGGCTCCGGGGGGCTGCCTGCAGGTCCACGCAGCGGGGAAGCAGACGGGAACAAGGATGCACTTGGAACCCCAAGCGGGGTGTGCCATCCCCAGGTCTGCAAGAGAACAGACTAGCCCTGGGCTGCAAGCCAGCGCGGGCCTCACCCCGCCGCACGGCCACCGTCTGGGGTCCGCAGGAAGCGAGGCAGGGGGCAGGCAGGCTAAGCCTTTCCCCAGGCCCAGGGAGACAGCGGCTGCTCCCGGCCCATCCGCAGCCCCCACGGCTTCACAAACCTACACTCCCACCGCTAGGATAACGATGCTAATTTCCTGTTATTCTTGACTTTCTGATGATAACTTGGATATTATTTCTTTGTCTGACATGTTCTGATTATCTTTCACTGCAAACTGCTTTAGTGAAAACTAGGAAGACAAAGAGGAGAAGGCAGTGGTACCCCACTCCAGTGCTCTTGCCTGGAAAATCCCATGGACGGAGGAGCCTGGTAGGCTGCAGTCCATGGGGTCGTGAAGAGTCGGACACGACTGAGCAGCTTCACTTTCATGTTTCACTTTCATGCACTGGAGAAGGAAATGTCAACCCACTCCAGTGTTCTTGCCTGGAGAATCCCAGGGACGGCGGAGCCTGGTGGGCTGCCGTCTATGGGGTGGTACAGAGTTGGACATGACTGAAGCGACTTAGCAGCAGCAGCAGCAGGAAGGCAAAGAAGGTGAGTTTAAGGAAAGCGATATTTGTAAAAAGAGGAAGCAGCTCTGGACTCAGCAGAGAGCCACGGCTGGGCCTGGAGCGAGGACCCAGGTGGACGGAGCGGCCAAGTCAGCGTCCATCTGGGGCTCTCTGTCCACTCTCAGCAAGCTGAGGGACGGAAAGGACTCCCTGTGTCCCCCCAGCCCGTGGGCCTGTCCCCACGCGTCCCCCACAGCCCGCCCCTGTGGCCCTGGGTGGTCAGAGGGCAGCAAGGGGCAGAGTGAGACCAGTGCTCACTGTGCGTGGACACAGGTGTGGCCACGAGTCTCAGGCCACGTCAGCCCCGTGTCCGGACCCCTCCCCAGACGCCAGACCAGGTGCCAGTGGCCCCAGGACCCAGGAGCCACCACGGTCAGGCTCACCCCCTGCTCCTCCCAACACAGTGGGCACTCTCGGGAGAAAGCCAGGGACCCCGCCTCGCCTGTTCTCAGAGGCGACGGGAAGGGCCCCGCGGGTCATCCAGGGTCAGAGCTGGTGCCTGCCTGGATCACAGGTCCTTCGTTTTCCTTTAGCTTCAAGAGTTCCGAGGCCAACATTAGCCATCAAAAGCCAACTACTGGGGGAGAAGTGGTATTAGGCAAAAACTCCAGAGCAGCTGGGAAGCCAAGTCTGACAGGCACATGGGTTTTGTTTAATCAAAACCAAGACACAGCTTTAAAATCCATATTTCCCAGTTTCCTGAAAAGTGACAAAACCTGACTCTGTGGGGGAAAGCCCCCAAGTGACAGGAACTGGCCAGAGCTGAGGGGAGTCCAGCGGGGCCCCACGCTGCCCTCGTCCCAGCCCTCAGACGGGGCTGTGAGCACCAGCGTGCCCCTGCAGGGGAGCAGGATGCACACAGGTCCCTCACGTGTCACCGGTGTCCGCGTCGCGGAGGACAGAGCTGACAGCCCGGCAATGATGCTACAATTACTCCTTCGAGACACAAGCCTCCGGTGTGGTGGTTATGGATCATTACCACCAGTTCACAGATGAGGAAATTTAGTGGACATCGTGCAAGTTACTTCTGCAATCTTGGTTTTCTTCTTGAGAAGTCAGGAACCGGTTTACAGGCTTGCCCTCAAAGCGCCTGGCGCAGTTCGGGTGGAGCAGGCGCCCCATCACCCCGGTCTCCCTTCGAACACTCGACTGCACACCCAGAGCTTCAGCGGGCTCGAGGGAGCCTGGTGAACTCGCGGGTCTCCACACCGACGCGTCCAGGCTGTCATGGAGCAGCTCCAGGAGTGAGGCTGTGCTCCTTCGCGCCCTTAGCGTCCCAGCCGAGGCCTTACGGCCAGGAGACAAGCGTGGGCAGCCTGTCTGTCTGCTCCCTCTGTAATAACGGGACGCACACAGCATCCTGACGATGGGAATCCCTGCTTCTGAAGAGGCTGCGGGCGTGTTACACGGCAGGACCACTCAGGAAAAATAACAGGTGAGGAGGAAGCTGTCGCCCCGTGAGCCCGCCCCCACTTACCTAAGGGGAGCTTCAGAAACGATGGTGCTTCCCTGAGATACTCGACAGTGATGGTCACCTCATCGCCCGCGTTTTTCAGAAGATGCACCTGTCAGTGTGACGCGGGACGGCCATGTTACCACCACAGAGGGACCTCGGAAATAACGCTCGCACCCCCACCAGGGCTTCCCGGGTAGCTCGGCCGGTAAAGAGCCCGCCCGCAATGCAGGAGACCCGAATTCTAGCCCCGGGTGGGGAAGATCCCCTGGAGGAGGAGTATTCTCCAGTATTCTCGCCTGGAGACTCCCATGGACAGAGAAGCCTGGCGGGCTACAGTCCATGGAGTCACAAAGAGTCAGACACGACTGAGCGACTAACACTTCCGCTTCCGCTACATGCTTCGCCTGTCTCTCGAGGAGCCAGCGTTCACGGTTACCTCTGAGACTCTGGAAGCTCCGCAAGCCTCTCCTGGGGGGACAAATGGACGCGGTGTGTCCCCAGGTACACGGCTCCGCGCCTCGTCCACACACAGGTGCACCCATCAGCCCAGATCCATGGCCAGGCTCCCCGCACACTCGACACACCCCACCCCGAAACCAAAGTCGCGGGAGAAACCCACGCGAGGTGCCAATCGCAGACACTGGCACACACGCCCGCGCGTCAGCTGTGACGCTGCAAGCTGAAAGCACGAGCTTCAGGCTTGAAACCACGCTTTAGTTTGGAGAAACCGAGGGCATCACGTCACCCTGCTCGGTTACCAGGTCCCCCACCCCCAGGTTCGGGCCCTTCAGCTGCAGCTACAGACAGCTCCCCACTTTAGCTCTGGAGACAGCTTTGAAAGCCCAACGAGTTTCCCGTCAGTTGGGCCAACTCGATCCAGATACAGCAGACGCAGCCCAGAAATAAGAAGCCGTAAGTGTCCTGCCCCGGCCCCCTCGGGCACGTCCCGATGCCTCCATGCGACCTTGGTCCCAGGCAGGGAACCCCGCCCAGCCCTCACGTACACAGGCACATGCTTCTGCCTGGAGAACGCAGGAGTGCCTTTACCCTCACCCGGGGACGTTCCCGCACCCCCCAGACCCTGACGTCCCCCCCGCCTCAGCCTGTGAACCCCGCTGACACCCGAGCCCAGGTCAGCTGAGCGAAGGGAGAGCAGGACGGCACCGCGAGCATGAGATGGACACTCTGCTCGGACAGCCCAACGGCTGGGGCTCGTCTGGGGCCACCCTCCGCACCGCCCGAGGCCCCAGGGATAGGAACACGCCACCTCAAGCCCCTCCCAGCTGACACCTGTCTCCTGGGACAAGTGGCCCTGGGCGATTCTGATCAAAGCGCAGGGCCACCACACTCTCTCCTCCCACAGGGCAGTGAAGGGACCCCTGGGCAATGCCCTACCCTGTGGGCCTGGGTGTCGTGAGGGCGGGGCCCCCCTGGGGAGGGCACGGCCCCCACAGAAGCTGCGGGTCCTTGGCTCAGGGAGTTTGACACTGAACGCCCAGGCATCCCCTGCACGGCAAGAGCCTAAGCTCTGCGACTCTCTCCAGGGTCAAGTTCACCCACTGCGTCTGTCATGCAGATCTGCAAGTGCGTGTGCATGCACACACACGCACACACGCACACGCACACACCTGGAGAAACGCACAACCAGTCTCAGCTTCCGCAGGACACCTTCTACCAAACGCAGGTTTGATCTGCTGAGGACCAGTGTGACCTCCCGCAAGGTGCTGGGAGCGGGGCTTCAAGGGGTTCAGAGCCAGGCTGCGGCTTGGAACCTGGAAGATTCTGTTTCTACCATCTAAACACAAGGGAAGGCTTTATTTCTAAGGGTTCGTGAGTTCAAAACCAGCAGCACTCAGGATCTGGCCTGAGACCTTAGCATTAACAAAGCAGCCATGCATGACCAAAACGGGCATAGAAAAGAACCCATTTCAACTCGAAAAGGAGGCCTCACGAATGAGTCAGTGCCTTTTTATTGATTATGGCAGTTTTTTAAATCAATGGCTCTCATAGCACCTAAGACCCTGGACTGCCATACCGGACTAGATGTGAATTTAACATTTGAGATTTAGAAAAAAACCCTGACCTTGCTGCATAGAAACGCAGTTCTGCACCATCTCTCAGGCTGGTGTCTTCAGAAGGGGCTCCGAGGCAGACACGTGGGACTGGGGGTCCCGCTGGGGGGAGGGAGGCGTCACCACCTCCCTGCCATCACTAACCTCTGCATGCAGGCCAGACTGAGCGACTTTCCAAACATTGATTTTCCTTCCTCTCTGAATGGTGAGAGGTCTCAGAATTTGCTGAATAAGATTAAGGGAGGCTCCCTCTTGGCCAGGTTTGCTGTGATGTTATGTGTCCATGTGGATGGGGACACAGGGCTCAGTAAAAAGCGGGACATAAACACCTTTTTGTCACTCTAAAGTAGTAAGGCTTTTCCAAAGCAGGAGACAAGATGCAGGGTGAGGTTCATTCTGTGGATCTTTTGTGTTGAGCAGAACTGCCTTTTTTCCTTTTAGTAATAACTCAATCTAGAATTTACTCTGAAAAATGAGGGTGTGAAACTGTGTAATTTATGAGGTCTTCTACAAATTTAATATTTTTATGAATTTCATGAACCTGAAAAGCTGAGATCGTGTATGTCATTAGCCTTGCTGATTCAAGCATGGCTTTTGTATCACATAAGACTGTGGACTTATAATTTGATACTTTGGTCCAAAAAGTATATTTATATTAGTCAAATATTGGAATACCTCTGTGTATTAAGTTTACACATTTTTTACTCAAAAGCTTTTCTTTTGGGTGAACGCTTTTCACTTCCCCAGGGCTGGGATAAAGTTACCTAGCTGTGCGCTGTTTCTTTTTGAATTACTGTGTGTATTCTCACCTTAAGAAAGCAAGCTTTTGCAGAAATTGATAAATAACACAAGTTTTAGGTTTAGGAAGTAAATTATATGTCATCCATTTGAACCTAAACCTTAAACTACATGTCCCATCCAGCCCACAGATCTTACCTCCATGCCTGGAGAGAGTTAAAGGAATTCTTCTCTTAGTAATGAACCACTAATATGCTGCACTGTGGAGCCTTACCCGACCTTGGTTAAGGTTCACATCTGGAAAGGTGCTGGGGCAGAGACTGTGACCCCCAAGTCCACGGGCCAGCATCTCAGACATGCACCAGGGGTGAGCTTCCCGGGATGTCCTCCACGGTGGATGAGCACGCAAAGCCAGAGGCACCCTCACAGGCTCCACACGAGCCACCCAGGGGGGCTCCCCACTCCCTGAATTTCAGTCCCCATCTTCAAAATAGGAGCCACCAAATCTACCTTTCACGGCATCTGAGAGGCCCCTATGAACACATGCATGAAATGCACATACAGAAACAAAATAACCAGAATAAGAGAATATCTAATAAAAAGAACAATATCCATAAAAAAATCACACACTTACCACTTCTTTGTGGGTCGCACTTTCTACATTAATGCCATTAACCTGAAAAGATGACAAATTAAGAATTTTAAGGATAATAATTCATGAGTCTCAGTTCAGAACTAAGAGGAACTAACATGCAACAGAGCTGAGGACTGAAGTTCAAGATACTGACCTGGAGCAGGGCGTCCCCTACGAACAACATCCCTGTCTGGTCGGCTGCAGGGTCGTAAAAGGGGCAACAGTGTTAACAGAGACTCAGAGACATCAAGCTGCTTGTGGTGGCTGAAGCAGAGTCTGCAGCAACTGGTGTGTGAGTGTGTGCACACATGTGTGTGCATGCACGTGGATGTGGGAGCCTGTGTGTGTGAATGCATGCATGCGTGCATATGGGTACATGTGTCAGTGTGGGTAGCTGCATGTGCATGTGTGTAAGTGTGTGCACGCATGTGGATGTGCATGTGGGGGGGGAGTCGTTGCATGTGGGCACAGGTATGCACATTGAGTATGAGTGTGTGCACATGTGTGACCATGCATGCATGCATGTAGATGTGTGAGCATGTGGGAGTCTGTGTGGGTGAGTGTGTGTATCTATCTGTGTACACATGTGCATGTCCATGCACACACATGCATGTGTGGCTGTGTGACATAAGAGCGTGAGCACGTGTGTCTGTGTGCGTGTGTACGTGGGTGTGGGGAAATGCGGCGGCACAGCACCAGCCCCTCCAGGGCAGCCTCACATTCAGCCGATTTCAAGCACATTGAGAGAGTCACTTAGATGCAGAGCCTTGTTTAATGAGAAGGACAAATGAAGGATTTCATCACACATGTGGAAAGCCTGATCCCAATTTTCCATTAAGTCAACACAGACAATAAAATAGGAATTCTAGAAGTCCCTTAGGATTTCCCCCTCTTTCTTGGGAACACATTTACACAGACTATTTTAATTAAAGGGAATGTGCCCAGAATATTAAAGGAAAAAGGAAAGAAAATCTTTGCATTGTACAGTTTGAGTATAAGCTCTATAGCATAGTTCCACTTAATTTTTCTATTATCATAGGGGAAGAAAGAAACCTCCTTTTAACATGACTGAACAAATTTGCACCAAATGTAAACCATTTTGCAGTGTAAACCCTGACAGCTGTCTTTTCTTTAATGCAAGTTCCTGGCTTCGGCTCTGCTCGCCCAGGGACCCCCTCTGAGGGGCCCAGCTCGTGACAACATGCTGTCGTCCACACAGGAGACAGAGCTGGAACCCCCACCCCCGCCCCTCGCCGGCTCCGATGTTTGAGAGATCTGGGTTGATTTCAGTAACTGATCATTTGGGCCACTTGTTTTTGCTCTTCCTGGGCTTTAAATTCCTGCTCTTGTGTTTAAATTCACCAACAAAGAGGGATCCCTGGAAAACAAGCCCCCTCCCACCTCAGGGAAAACAGGACCCAGGCCCCTCTCTCTCTGCCGGCGACCTTGGTCTCTCCATGTGACTAGGTCTGCTGCGTTATTTCCAGGTCCCATCAGTAGAGAACCTCTGTGTTCTCAAAGTCCTCCCACGGTTACTGCCGAAGGTGTCTTGCAACCACAGTCAGAAACAGCAGGACTGGTGCAGCCACAGCACAGGTGAGTGACGGCCTGAGACCCACACAGAGCACATTTTCACAGGTATCTTTTGCCTTCATCTAGATTTATTTTATGTCTTTGGTTAAATATTGAAAACCAACTAACAGACTATTCTTTTAACAGTGGCATTCTTTAAATTCCAGAAAAATATTTAATGTCAATTGTTAATATTAGTTCTAGTCATTAACTATATTAAATTTTCTTGAAAATAAAATACAATCTTTATACCACTAAATGCAATGGTTATTTGTAGGTAACTAATGAAGTTACTATTTACAGAGACTTTGCCCAGAAAACCTTCATTGCCCATTAGATGAGACCTACTGATGGAGACCTCTGTCTCTCTATCTCTCTGTCTCTCTCTCTCCATCATTTAAAAAAGTCAATTTAAAAACTTTCCAATTAAATCTTTGAAGTGCTGTCCCTTTGATGGACACTTTTAGTCCTAAAAAACAAATTGGTGGTGGTGATTTAGTCGCTGTGTCTGACTCTTGGGACCCTATGGACTGTAGACCACCAGGCTCTTCTGTCCATGGAATTTTCCAGGCAATAGTACTGGAGTGGGTTGCCATTTCCTTCTCCAGGGGATCTTCCCGACCCAGGGATCAAACCCACATATTCTGCATTGCAGGCGGATTCTTTACTGACTGAGCCACCAGGGAAAGTGGTAAAATGGATGATAAAACAGTATCATGGAAGTTTGATTTTAATTTAAAATTTTAATTAATGTTCCTAAATAAAATGAACTTTTTGGTCAGATTAAGACAGGTTAGTGGATTTCAGTTGAAAGTGGCTCCAGCTTATTTCTGTGGTAACCTTGTCATTATATCAGGATGTAAAATGGAAAAAGAGCATAATATATTTTAATCCACATAAATATTCAAACATGAAAACTAGCTACAAGAAGATATTCTATATTCTGTTATACTTGCCTTTTCAAGTCAAATTAATTGCTATCACTAGTGTTATGTGAGGTTATGCAAATTTAATCATTCTTTGCAATACAATTGTGTTATAACAAAAATAATTTGTTTTTTCTGCAAACTAATTAGTAAGATTCAGACATGTTAAATATTCATTCACGTGAAATTCTGGGGAATATTAGAAAATGATAATACCTCCTAAAGTCTTGGTATTAACTGCACTGAGAATCTGGGTTAATAATGGGGGAACCCCAGAGTTTCTGGTGTCTCAGACCCGCTTCATCGTCCTTCACAAGTGCCGAGTCCTTTGAGCCCAGGACCAGTGAGCGTGGGCACGGCCGTCGCCCAACAGGGGTCACGGGTGGTGCGCTCAAGGACCGGGGTTGACACGACCCGGGCTGAGCCCCTGCCCGCCCTCAACTCCCAAGGAGCCCTGCTTCCCGACACACGTTCCGCCTCCACGCAGCACGGTGGCGGGCTTTATCCTGAAAAACAGTGTGGGACACTCAGATCAAAAAGCAAGAGTCTGGGGAGCACTGACTCACCCCCACATTTGCATGGATGTCTTGTGCGGTCGCAGGCCAGCCTGAAATAACCCGAACAATCCTGGCTCCCCAGACAAGCAGACACCCGGTGTCCCCTAGGAGGAGGCGGCCTTCCGCCACCCAAGCGTCACTTCAGATCAGAGGGGTGAGCCATCAGAAAATGTTATGTATGCCCCGCACTTACTGCGAAGACTTATGTGATCTCTTACCTCCTTCGCTGTAAAGCTCTTTGGTCCTCACCGTAATGCCCAGAATTGCCGGCGCTGGCTACTCCAGCCATGGTCCAGTGACCCAGAGCTGGAGGAGAAAGTGCCCTTCACAGACCTGAGCGCCCAGAGCATCCTTCCGCTGTGTGGTCGCACCTCAGCGTTGGCAGGGTCTGCTGTTTATGAACCACAGCATCCTGTTCCGGAATTTACCTCCAGGTCTCATGTGTCAGTTACCTCTTGCTCTTGGTGAAGAATGACCTAAGCTGACTATTTAGCCATTTTAGACCACCTGAAGTTTACACATTGTGAGCAGATAAGAGTGTTAGCACATGCATCTAAGGTGATCCAGATGAGCTTTTCCTCCAGTAAGCTGGGGTTAAGGTAACTCATCCAGGAAGCCTGCCCTTCGGGGCGGAGGTCACCAGCAGCCTGAGCACATGGTGCTGCAAGATGATCAGAAGTGGGGAGACAGAGACCCTGACCCAGAGGTGCCGAGAGACAGGGCGCTGGGGGTGGGGAGGGGGCGGGGAAGCCTCCTGTCACACACTCTTGGCTCAGAATGGGAGAAAACGCCACCAACTTTGGAAACAAAGATGACACAGTCCGAAGAGTTGTGCTGAGGTTCCGCCCTCAGAGGACACACAGGATGTGTGCAGCCGTGCGGCCAGCAGACTCGGGAGGGACTCCCGCTCGGATCCACACAGCGGAGAGTTTTAAGTAAACAGTCTGCAGGATGTGCACCCAGCCCAGCCGCTGGGGCTGCAGGCGGGAGTGCTGAAGTGGCTGCCTGCGGGGGTGGGGGGGACGAGGAAGCCCCTGCCCCGCCTGTGACTGTCTTTTTGCAGCAGATGGCTGTCCTGGTGGGGGGGACTTGGTGGCAGGCCTGGAGGACCAGCGTTCTGGGCTCCTTGACAGCTGACTCCCGTGGGGAGAAGCCTCCGGGGACAGGGTGGGGAGGGTGGTGGGCAGCTGGGCAGAAGCTTCGGGTTCTGGCATCACACCAGCTCCCCCACAGGCTCTGCACTGCCCACCTGACCCCCTGCCAGGGTCCTACTCGGCTCCGCGAGGCTCTGCCTGGTGACCTGCAAGCTGCTATCCAGAGCCTGCTCCTGGGGCTTCTCCGGTCCGGCCTGTGGGGCGCTCAGTCCAGGGAGCACTGGCTCTGTCCTGGGTCCTGAGGAGAGACCCACCCAGGCCCTCGGGGGTCGTCACCAAGGGGACTGAACCACCATCAGAGCAGCTGCGGACCAAAGGGCCGGGAGGTCAACAAAGTGAAGCCGCTCAGTCGTGTCCGACTGCCTGCAGCCCCGCGGACTGCAGCCCAGCAGGCTCCTCCACCCACGGGGCTCTCCGGGTGAGAGTACTGGAATGGGCTGCCATTTCCTTCTCCCCGGGATCTTCCCGACCCAGGGGGTGAACCCGGGTCTCCCGCATTGCAGGCAGATGCTTAACCGTCTGCGCCACCAGGGAAGCCCTGGAAGGTCAATGATACACTTGTAAAAACAAACATTCTCTTCACTTTAAGAGAAAGTCTAACCACAGGCACCACCGGGCTGGGCCGTGAACAGGGGCGTTCCTTGAAGAGGTCGCCCGCTTCCTCAAGCCTGGAGCGCGTACGCACATGGACTCCTCGGGGGACAGGGCCGGTACGTGGCCCCAGAAGGAACGCAGAGGCAGGAGCTGCCGAGTGGATGGAGGAGACAGAACCAGAGGGGAGGCAAGGACCAAGCGGAAGAGAAAGCGTCACACTGAGTCAGACAGAACAATTAATTAACGAAATCTCACGGGTGTGGCAAGCGCATCGCCAGTCTCGTCCGACAGCAGCGTTTCATGGCAGTGAGACCTGGAACACAGGTCAGGGAGCTGCAGAAAAACAGGCCTCGGGGGCCCCACACCCCAGGAGGCCCAGCGGTGCCCCCGGGCTC